AGTAGACTTGATCAGACCTTCCTAGTTCTTGACTAGGACACTTCAACATAATCAGGACACTCATTCTTAGTAAGTTAATGTATAAATAGAATATGTTCCCAATTAAAGTACCAATAATACTTCCCCCCGCCCTGAAAGTAGACAAAGTGATAAGTAAAGTTCATATGGAAAAGTAAGCATGCAGCATTGAAAAGGAAGAACTGTGAGAGGGGACTAGCCCTGTCTATATTAAAACATACTATGAAGCCTCTATAATTAAAACAGAGCGGTACTGGGGCACAGACTAGAATAGAATGGAATGGAATGCCTAAAAATAGATCCTAACATGTATGGAACTTTATGAGAAAAGAGGTATCTCCAGTCATTGGGACAAAGATGGGCTTTTTAATGGTGTTGGGGCAACTGGCTAACCATTTGGAAAAAGATGAAATTAGATCTGTTCCTCCCACTATAAATAAAACTGAACTCCAAATGGATCAGAGCTCTAAGTAAAATAAGAAACTTTATATGCACTCCAAGAATACGTGGATGAATTCCTCCTTACGATCTGGGTGTAGGAGCGAGCTTTCTATGAATCAAAATCCACGTACAGTAAAAGAAATTATTGATAGACTTGCAGCCAAAAAACGTGTACAGGAGCAAAATCAAACCAGATTTGTGATAAAATATTTGTAACACAAATATATCATGAGTTGAGATCTCTAATACATATTTTTAAATGAAAAATGACCCCAAAATGGGCAAAAGACACAAGCAGACAATGTACACACACATACACACACACACACACATACGCGCGCACCCGATATTAAAATGTCCTCTGAATATCAACTTTCACCATATTAAGAGAAATGTAAATTAAAATTGCATCAAGATACCATTTGTCACCCATCAGAGTATCCAAAAAAATCAAAAGCTTGACAACATAGTCTGTCCTAGAAGCTGCGGGGAAAGAGTCACTCTCATATGTTGCTGGTGGCAATGCAAAATGCTGCAGCCCTAATAAGGGGAGTCGACAATAACCTGCATTTACCCTTTCACCCAGTGTTTCCATGTCTGGGAATTTATCCCGGAGGCACACCTTCAACAATATATATGTGCTGGCTTATTCATTGCAGTATTATGTCTGACGGTAAAATATTGTAATCTATGTAAAGGCCCAGCCGTGGGAGATTGGTTGAATAAATGATGGTGTAATTAGCTGTAAAGACAAACGAAGAAGATCTTAATAAACTAGAGTGAAGTAAATTCTAGGATATAGTAGAAATAAAAAATTTTTTGGAATTAAAACAAAGAGAGCATATATTTATCCTAGCTGGTGTTGCTCAGTGGTTGGAGTGTTGGCCTGCACACCAAAGGGTATTGGGTTTGATTAATGGTCAGGGGCACACACCCGGACTGCAGGTTTGATACACGGCCCCAGTTTGGGGGGGCATGCATGAGGAAGCCAATTTATGTGTTTATTTCACATTGATGTTTCTCTCTCCCTCTCTTTCTCTCTCTCTCTTCTTCTCTCTCTCTCTCTCTCTCTCTCTCTCTCTCTCTCTCTCTCTCTCTCTTTCTCTCTCTCTTTTTCTCTCTCTCTCTTTCTCTTCCCTCCCTTCCCCCCCCCCCCATCTCCCCTTCCACTCTCTAAAAATCAATGGGGGGAAAAATGGCCTTGGGTGAGGATTAACAACAAAGAAAAGTGAAAGAAAGAAAGAAAGAAAGCATATATTTTTGTATTTTATTTTTTAAAAGGAAGGATAAATCAGAAAAAAATGAAATTGATTATCCTCTGAGGAGGTTAGGTGGAGGGACTGAGTAAATAATTGTAATATATATGTGCTAGTATAATAAGATGCTATACACACTATGGGTGGGTTTTACAGACCTAATGCTAAACCAAAAAAGCTAGATACACGAGTCTATGTGATTCCATTTATATGAAGATTTGAGTGTTTAAGTATAGATGTGTGATACATCAATACACTTTTTAAGTTTATTAAAAGATACCTGTACCTATGTCAGCAGTGGCAAAATCATCCTAACAGTCAGAGGAGAGGAAAAAAATTACTTTTCTTGTCAAATTCATCTTCAGGATGCTGATTTGTTGTAGCTGGTGGCTCATTTCTCCCAGGTCTTTAATAAAAGCTGGTCGGTCTCACCTGTAATGTCCACTAAGGATAGCACTATGCCCGAGAGCCAGAGTTACCGGAACACTGTGCCGAATTTCAGCTCGGGGTGCAGGGTGTGTGTGTGTGTGTGTGTGTGTGTGTGTGTGTGTGTGTGTGTGTGTTGGGGGTTAGAGATCCTTTGAGGAGAATTGATTCATATTGTTATCTGGTACTACCTTCATAGGGAGGTGTACAGAGGCCAATATTTGCCCCCTTTTGAAGGTGTACCAATCAGAAATGAGGCAATAGCTAGATGACCAAACAAGGCAAGTTGTAAAGTGGTAACTTAGGCTGCAGCAGCTAAAAGAAAAAGAGAATGTTTGATTGCATAAGGCAGTACACTATTTCGTAGCGTGAGTTTATTTTGGAGTATAGATTTCTTTTGGTGTAGGGGGAGCCTTTAAGACTATGGAAATTTTTTGTTTTTCAACAAAACAAAAATTGATGACACTTCAGGTGGCTATTGAAAGATAGAAGGAGGAAATTTTTTTTTAATGACATGGTTTGGGCAGATTCCATCGCTGTGATTAAAAGAAAATACATGTATTATATTAATAAGGTTTGTTTCTAAGGGGAATCACATTGCTACAGGATGATGTAAAATTTAAGTTGCAGCGTATGAGAAACTTTTAACATTTTTCAGCTCATGAATAAATGATGATCCAAGTGTTAAGAGAACTTTTTTTCCCCCCACCCTGTACAAATGTTAGAAATTATGGATAAAATCCCCTGGAAAGCCCTCAAAAATCTACTTAATTCCTAAAGCCTCTAAGTATTGTTTCATTGGGAAAATAAATTCTGAATCCTAACTCCCAGCAACAATAACAGATTTTAAATGTCTTCCTCTCCCCTCCTATGCAGTTTACCAAATGGGTTGTTTTTGTCTTCCTAGCCAAGGCCACGGAGCAGCAGGGATTCCAAGGGCCTTTGTTACTGGGAAGAGCCATCTGGTGACCCTGGCAGGAAGCTAGGCTCTAACCCTGGTGAGGGCTCTGCTCGCCAGCCCTTCCCCTGGACTCTCCTTGCACTGTACAGGCTCTGCTGCTAATTATTAACTCCTTAGGCTCCTCTTACGCAGAGCCTTGAGGCATGGCTTGTTTTCTTTCCTTCTCTACTGGCATAAACAGTTTTGGCCTTAAGTATCCACCTAGCAAAATGTGGATTGTATAAAATGTCTTTCTTTTTTTTAACCTACCAGGTAGTGAATAGGATAACTGATAAATGGGTCAATACATGAAGATCCTTAAGAGAAAAGATGTTCCTAAGGTACAAGTCATGCATCACAGAGCACATTTGGTCAACAACAGATCACGCATATCCTATATACCCTGTTTCCCCGAAAATAAGACAGTGTCTTATATTAATTTTTTCTCCCAAAGTTGCGCTAGGTCTTATTTTCAGGGGATGTCTTATCTTTCCATGTGCCAGGTTTTATTTTCAGAGGATGTCTTATTTTCGGGGAAACACAGTAATAAAAGGCTAATAGGCAAATCAGCCAAAGGGTGGAACAACTGGTCATTATGAGGCACACTGACTACCAGGGGGCAAACACTCAACACAGGAGCTGCCCCCTAGTGGTCAGTGCGGTCCCACAGCAGGGAGCACCGCTCAGCTGGGCTCATGGCTAGTGAGCGCAACAGCGGTGTTTCCCAACCTTTCCCGCCTCTGCAGCAGTGCTAAGGATGTCCAACATCCCCCAAGGGCTCCCGGACTGCGAGAGGGCGCAGGCTGGCTGAGGGACGCCCTCCCACCCCCACTGAGTGCACTAATTTTGTGCACCAGGCCTCTAGTGTAAGATTATAATGGAGATGAAAACTTCCTGTCATCTAGTGACATCACAGTGGTCGTGATGTGGTAGCAAAATGCATTCCTCACATGTTTGTAACGGCACTGGTGTCAACAAACCTACTGGGCTGCCAGTCATATTAATGCACATGCCATTACAGTGTTTCCTGTTATTAAGCGGCGTGTGACTATATGACTAGGAGGACACAACATAAAGTTTGTCCCACAAAATATCCTGTTTTGTCCAATTAACTGTCCGCATTGGCATTTGGGTTTATACTGTTCACTGCGTTTACCCTCTCACCTTTGTCCACTTTTCTTTTGGTTTAAAGTGAGTTGGGCCCATTTAAAACATGTATAGTGAATAATTCATATCATTAATAGGTATTATTAACTCTTTTTAAAAAAATATATATTTTATTGATATTTTACAGAGAGGAGGAAAGGAGAGAGAGAGAGAGTTAGAAACGTCGATGACAGAGAAACATCGACCAGCTGCCTCTTGCACACTCCCTACCAGGGATGTGCCCACAACCAATGTACATGCCCTTGACCGGAATCGAACCTGGGACCTTTCAGTCCGCAGACCGATGCTCTACCACTGAGCCAAACCGGTTTCAGCGGTATTATTAACTCTTAAATGTCAAATCTCATCAGCCAAGGCTATAAAGTGGACTCGTCAGTGATGACGTATGTGTGCTCTTAATTGTGCTTTGGTGTTTAGTAAATGAAACAATTGAGAATAGGGGAGCCATAACTTGTTAACCTACGTGGACGTATTTTGCAGACTTTCCCTGGGCAGTCTGTCACTGCCGCTCATCTTCAGCATAAGTCTCCAGTGATTCTAAAGGGACGGAATTTTATTTATTTATTTTTTTTTTTTACCCGATTTGTTCCTGAGTGAAAAATGGCTTTTCATTTGGATGCCACTTTTGAGTTGGCAGCAGGGCAGGGTTCAGATAATTTGTTGCGTACAGGTTATGCTGCGACTTTATTGCAATGTTGTTACCTATTTCCATCATTCTCATTCTTGTCTTTTTCTTCTTTTTTCCCCCCTAGTTCTTCCTCCGGTGCTGGTCCCAAGACACAGCGAATATAACCCTCAGCACAGCCTCTTAGCTCAGTTCCGCAACTTGGGACAGAATGAGCCTCACATGCCACTCAACGCCACTTTCCCGGATTCTTTCCAGCAACCCAACAGCCACCCGTTCCCTCACTCCCCCAACAGCAGCTACCCCAACTCCCCCGGAAGCAGCAGTAGCACCTACCCTCACTCTCCCACCAGCTCGGACCCAGGAAGCCCTTTCCAGATGCCAGGTAGGTTGGACCGCTGGGGGCTGTTCTGCGGTCAGTTCCCAGGGTGTTACCACGGTGTGGGGAGAAGCTGGGGTGCCTGGAGGGAGAGTGTGTCTGCTCTGGTACGCGGCCCTGTGCTCCAGGGCTCAGGACTGGGCCGGTTGGAAGAAGACCTTGTAGCTAAGCAATTGGCACATGTCTTGTTTTATTCGCCAAACACAGATGTTTTAATTCTGAAGGGCTTCGAAACAGCTGCATCTTTCTGGGTGTAGCATCATCGTTAACAGTCTTTGATAAAAGAAAGAGAAAATAGTGTGTTGCACACATTTGCTTTGGGAGAAACACAGCCTCCTCCATCAGCATTGTTTCATACGTGGAATGAAAACCCCTTCTACAAGTGCAACCTCAGAAAAGATATTTCCTGAGGGATCGCAGTCCCCTTCTTAATTAAATTCATTTAACGGGTGATGTAATCCCAAGAAACATATACTTTAACAACAAAGGAATTGCAACAGATGTACTGGAAACCATCTGCTTGTTTAACCTAGCAAAGACAGAAAGCAATTATCCTCCTTTTTTCAGACTTAACTGATGGTGTAATATTTATCAGAATAAATGATTAATTAGGACATTTTGTTTGTCAAGTTAATAGGTTAATAAGCCAGCACCTCAGAGAACAAAAATGATTACTAACAAATTTCATGCCAGTAGACCTCAAGAAACAAGGTCTAAATAAAGATATACTCGGTGTCTGTTTACCTGGCCTCTGTGAACGAGTGGGCAAGCATGTTCATCTGGCCACTGAAATTTTTTTAAAAGTAAATTTGAAATCGACATCCATGCAGATATGTCCTCAAAAACTGAGAAGTGTCCACACTTGATATTGCTCTCTTTAGTTTATGTATCTGTTGCTCCCTTTTATTTTAAGCCTGATTGCTTGTTTTTCAATCCAAAACTGTTTCAGATGAGGGTGGGAGATTGACTCGTTTAAAAATCAAGCCAATATCCTCCGCTGGACTTCCTGTCCACTCCCTTTCAGACCCTTTGTGTGTGATGAACCGGATAACAGGGAGGAGATAACTTCGGAAGGCTTTTGAGCAGTGGCAGACCGGGGTGGGCCCAAAGGTGAAAAACCTGAAGGTGATGACTTGAATGTACACTTCTTTCCCGGCGGCCAAGGGACTAAGCCTCAGACCCAGGAGGGGAAACATGACGAAGAGGAGGTGGGAGGAGGGACTTGTGGGAATGGTGGGCTCCACCGGTGGTATCCGGTCCCTCTCGGTAGTGCTGATGCCATGGGTTGCCCTGTGAATGTGAAGAAATGTGTTGTCTTTGGTCTCAGAGGAGGCTCTTTGTCTTCCTTCCTGAGTGGAAGTAAAGCCAAGCCAGTGTTCCAGGTGCAGGGAAGAAGCCGGATTAAAAGAAGCCGGAGAAGGGTGAAAAAGGCAGCCGGATAAGGTCCCCACAGCCCTGTCTTTGTGCTTCGAGCCCTTGCTCGTTAACAGCTGGCCCGTGGGAAGTCACTAGATGCTGTGATTCAATCTTGAACAGTCACTCCTGGAAATTGCTACAGAACTGTGCTGGAGCCCAATTAGTACTTGTGTTTGATGGTTGCCTGAGTGGTCGAGGGGACTTACCTAAGTTAGCGTGCTTCCGTAGGGTGAGACTTCGTTCCTGCTCTGCTCTGCGTGCCCCATGGGCTCATGCGAGACAGGGAGCAACTTGTTTTTGGGGGGAAAACCATGCTCTTTTTTTATTTTATTTAAGAATACAGAACACCTGTATCAGGGTCTTTGTTTCCAAAGTCAACATTGTTTGCTGCCTCTTATTTGCCAGTTGGCTTTGATTTTCCAGAGAAACATGTATGTAAATTCTGAAATAAAAGATAGCTGCGATAAACTGATTTGTTTCCTCTTCCACTATTAGGGATCTTAAAATTAGTGATTATTGAAGCGGACGGGAAGAAGGTAGTCCTGACAGGTCACCTAAAGTCTTGAAAAAGTAAGGTTAAGTCTGGAAGTTGAGTAATGAAACTCAGTGGTGATTCCTAAGAGCACACAGGTTTCCTGCAGGAGACCTTGAAGCCCCTTTTGTTGAGAAGTCGTCTGGAGCTTTGAAAGGTTTTCCATCCACCGGTGCGAGGGGAATGTGGAGGTCCTCTCAGCTCGCGTTGTACAATGCTCATCCAACTGTATTACAATGGCACCATCCCAGCCTGGCAGGCCACTTCTGGAACTGGCACTTAGTGCTTTTCCTCCCCTGGAGTTTTGACTAAACTTGTGTAAGATCACGAGATGGTACCCTGTTTCCCCGAAAATAAGACAGTGTCTTATATTAATTTTTGCTCCCAAAGATGCGCTAGGTCTTATTTTCAGGGGATGTCTTATTTTTCCATGAAGAAGAATACGGTACACATTTATTGTTAAATGAAAATAAAGGAAATTTATTATCTGTATACGGTACGGTAGTTGTCAACACAAATCAGACAAACTGTGAATCCTACAGTATCAAGAATTTACTCATTTATTCAATGACAATCATGTCATCATCTTCTGGAACATCATCATAACAATCCAATTCCTGAATTTCCTGCTGAATTTCTTGTGACTCCATTTCTTTCAGAATCAGTGGACCAAATCTCTCATGTTTAGCCTAGAGGGGACCTTATTTTTTTGGGGATTTCTTATATTTCACTCAGAAGGAAACCTGTAAGTAGGTCTTATTTTCGGAGGATGTCTTATTTTCGGGGAAGCATGGGTAGTAAGCTTCAGAAAGTGCACAGCAGTACAGTGTCTGGAGCATCCTATCTTTGGAAAGGAAGGTGGAAACAGCAACTTAATCTCTCACGCATTTTAGGACAGAAGAGGATATATATTTTTTAAGTGTGTTTATTAAGGATTTTAAAATCGTGTTTTTTGGTTTCTTTTTTTGTTTGTTTGTTTTTTACTTTGTAGCTGATACGCCCCCTCCTGCTTACCTGCCTCCTGAAGACCCTATGACCCAGGATGGCTCTCAGCCAATGGACACAAACATGATGGCACCTTCACTGCCCCCCGAAATCCACAGAGGAGGTAAATGAATTGCCACTGATTCCCTTGTGAGGGTCTCAGGTTTATCTGCCCAAACGTGGCTTTCTCTCACAAAATATAGCTATTTGCCCTAACTGGCTTTGTTCAGTGGATAGAGCGTTGGCCCGTGGACTCAAGGATCCCAAGTTCGATTCCAGGCAAGGGCATGGACCTTGGTTGCGGGCACATCCCCAGGAGAAGGTATGCAGGAAGCAGTTTCTCTCTCATTGATGTTTCTAATTCTCTATTCCTCTCCCTTCCTCTCTGTAAAAAATCAATAAAATATATTTTTTTAAAAAGCTATTTGAGGAATATAAAGCACAATAAGAAGCTCTGTAGAAACAATTCCTTGGGTTACAGATAAGTATTTTCCGTGAAGAACAAACACATTGATTTAACTAATGAAGGCCTGCATGTAATTGAGCAATCATCTGTTTAGAGCTTCCATACTTAGTAATTCTGAATTAGTGAAAAAAAAAAAAATATTTTAAAGCAAAGGACAAAGGGGCATTGAGAAATGACGACCATAACAGTACCAAAGTGGAATTTCCACGGGTGATTTCCAAAGTTATAAGTTCATGTCACAAGGCTCTGGAGAAGAAGGTTCTTTTGTGGCTAGGGTAGATAGTGATCAACCGCATCTATTTCCCAACCCTCCTCCATGCACAGGGGCAGCGGGCACAAACCAGCGCGCTTGTTTCTGGCTTGCTGTTTGCGTCTGTTTCTAACCTCGCTGCTCAGAGGAGTTGAGGCGCATGTCTTTCCTGTCCTCACTCGGAAGAGCTCTGAGCAGAACGAGCGTTCCTTCCCTCTCTGGTAGAGGGCGGGTCTGTGTGCAGCTCTGAGTGCTCCTTGGCCATGACGGAGGGGAGGCCATCCTTCCTCTGGGGCTGCAGTGCCAAGTCTAGTGGCTTAAGGGAGCAGGGAGCCCAGGTCAAGGAGTGCTGGGAGAATCTCCGAGCATCAGTAAGTCATCACAGCCACACTATTGAGTCAAGTCGCTTCCACAACTTCTCGTAGAGGACACTGCTGCAAGGTGCACTCGGCACATGGCCTGGGCAATCGAATTTGTGCAGACTTTACACAAATTAAAGTGGAAATGCAGTTCGATGACTAGATTAATGTCTTAGGTCATTCTCATCAACTTTTTTATTAAACTTGAGGACACCTCACACTTTGTCAGACTTGTATTTTTTGAAGTTTTTAAAATTTGATGAGGAACTCAACCTTTCTTAGATATGCAGTGTGATAAGCTGGAATGTACACTTTTTTTGTTGGCTCTGACGATCTCCAGAACATCCTCACAGACATATGATGATGGGCCAACAAAGGTTCTGGTTGGAGAAAAAAACTTTTGTCTCACACATCTTTGGGGTTTTTATTTGGGGAACAGGATTGCAGGAAAGGGTGGCAAATACAGTTAGGAGCATGCTGACCTATAAATGTTATTGTTAAGTCTAAAATGTTGATTTCAGGAAATTGGCCTTTAAGTTGTTTTAAAAGTTTTTCCTTTAAATAGCTTTAAACATTTTCCCCATTAGAATAAGTTTATAGTTAATATTTTCATGAGGAAGGAACGTTGGCCTTTTTGTTGTTGTTGTTTAATTTGGGGTGGTTTTCCTAGAGCAGAACACTGCATTCTACAGGTTAATTCAGACTCTTCCTGTTTCATAAATAAAGTTTTATTAGGACCCACTGTCTCCATTCATTTCATATTATCTGTTGCCGCTGTTGCACTACTAGGGTACTGTTGAGTAGTTGCCATAGAAATCACCTGGCTTACAAAACTTTTCTGGCCTTTTATAGGGGAAAAAAATCGTCAACCTCCAACCTAGATGAATGTATTTTGAACAACAGTGATAGTTGATAAAGCCTTCTGTTAATGGTGTTGCAGCCCTGTTTAAGATTTAACACTTATAAATCACTAGAATTTTGCTCTTTGAAATATAGCAAATTGACAAGGGATAGTTGCTTAGCAAACAGGGAAGACGGTATATGTTTTTGGCTCACCTGCTTCAATGTATAAAGCAGTTAATGTTTGTGTGGTTTTCTTTTTTACTAAATTTATTGGGGTGACATTGGTTAATAAAATTGTATAGATTTCAAGTGTACTGTTGTCTGTCTATGACTTTTTGTTTGTTTGTTCATTTGTTGCTTATAGTTTTATATTGCACAAGAATGAAGTCATGTGGTTCTTAACATTTTTGTCTGATTTATTTTGCTTTAGCATGATATTCTCAAGGTGTATCCATGTTGTCACAGATGGCAGTATTTCCTCTTTTCTGTGGCTGAGTGGTTTCTTAATGATCATTTTCCTTGTTTTCTATACCGAATTCTAAAGTAAAGTGCATTTTAATATTATGGAGGTTGATGTTAAGAACACAGAAGTACTTGCCTCCAATTCGGATTTTCTTTCCTTTTTTTTTTTTTTTTTTTTTTAATGATTATATATTCAAGACCATAAACCTCAGAGCATTACATACTAGCATGCTGGCTATCTATGGTTTGTATTTCTGGAATCTGTAGCGCAGTGGAATAAGAGGTTTTACTACAGAAGGAACTTATCTTTAGAACCTTCTAGTTGCAAATATTTAGAAGCATGTTCTGTTTGGAGATTTGTTAGTCTTAAGAGATTTGACTTAACAAGCTGCATCCTGTCAGTAAAGTTGGGTAATTTCCATTGTTGGCCCATTCTGGGAATGGAGAGACAAAACACACCTGCTCTGCATGACTTAAAGCAAATATAAGGAAGTTAGCATGAAATCTGGATGAGAGAGATATGATTCATTCTGTGCGAGTTGGCCAGCTGGCACGGTTTCTTCCTGAGTTTGAGGACTGGAGCAGAGCTGTAGCTGTGATGATTATTGGCAACTTAACGTGAAGTAAAGGAACTTCTTATCAATAATTAGAAACTGATTTCCATTGCTCCAAAAAATCATCAGCATGCTAAGGCTTGGTTGAAAGTAATTCCTTTTCGTGCCAGCACCTTTGGCATATTTCCCGTCCTCTATTGTTCTCTCCCCCCTGTTTTTTTTTTTTTTTTTTCAGCTCACTTACCACTTGTTGCCTTTCTTTAGATAGCGAGCCAGGGTCTGTAATGGGGGTAATTTCCATTTTGGCACATTACAGAGCATATTGTGAGTGTTCCACGCACACTGTGGGTATGCCTGCCTACCTGGCATTTTGGTTATCCAACAGCAATTAGAGAAAATTATTTTCCAGCGAAAGGACAAAGTTGGTCTCAGTGAGGAATACTAAGACATCGTAGATACAACCCATGCCCTAAAATTGCAGTTGCTCCTCCATATCTTCATTCCATGGTCCTGAGCCAATGTTACAACACAGTTTCAGTTTTTTGAGAGCCCGGGGCACTCACCTCGGTTGACTATGAGCTTTTCTTTCTCACAGATGTTCAGGCAGTTGCTTATGAGGAGCCAAAACACTGGTGCTCTATTGTCTACTATGAGCTCAATAACCGCGTGGGAGAAGCGTTCCATGCCTCCTCCACCAGTGTGCTGGTGGATGGTTTCACCGACCCTTCCAACAACAAGAACCGTTTCTGCCTTGGGCTGCTCTCCAACGTTAATCGGAATTCCACCATTGAGAACACGAGGCGGCACATTGGAAAAGGTGAGTGTCCACTTTAACCTCTTTTGTCTTTTGTGTTCCTGTCCCCCCAGAGCCGCGTAGTTTTTCCTGTGGCAAAACTAGTGTAGCAACGCCTGGTAATGTGTACTTGCTTCGGTTTGTAAATATTTTCCCAACGCGCATCACCAGGAAGTCCACCTTCCAGTCAGCGGTTTCTGTGGCCGACCAGCGCATGGTAATTAGTTGTCACTAGCAGAAATGGTGATTTGCTGTTCGGGAGCACTGGTCTATCTTGTGTTTTGCTGCAGAATAGGATCGCTGTTAAAAAAAAAAAAATTACTTACCACATGAAACGAAATGCAAATTCAAAAGAGTAAACCTAATGTATTTCAGACAAATACCGTAACTCACTGAGGAAATGAAAAGAATGAAATAATCCTTAAAAACTTATGAATATGTAGTACCTAGCTATATGTCCTCAGTCTGGGCCAGGTAGGGTAGCATGATTGTAAGAAAACTCTGAACTGTTTGTAGTAGACTTGATCATTTAGTAGCAGTATGAATGAAACAGTTCTGAAACTTTCAGATCCGATTATAAGATTAATACTGATTGTGTGATATTGAGAGCCTGGGTTTTCACTGGGAAATAAGAGATGTATATGTGTGGAGGATGGCAAAGAAATGGACCCTGTGGAAGTATCAGTGTGAAATCATGGTTTTCGTTATGTGTGTATATATGTGTTCACGATGTTTATGATCTCATTTATGTGTGTGTGAGTGTGTGCATCTGTACATGCAGATAGTTTTTAACCTCTCTGCTGAAAGGACCAAGAGGCAAAGATACCCAGGAGCAATAAACACATCTAGTGAGACACCTCTTACACCATTTCCTACTAGGAGGAACCAAGGCTCCTTGGAGAAAGGGCTGACTCCAAGGCTGGAACAGACAGGCACCAAGTGAGCCTGGAATATTTTGTTGTGTCAGAAGTAAAGAAATGCTGATGAAGATGATGGGCGCATGTCACAGGAGCCAACTCTAGGAATAATTTGAGCACCAAAATAACAAGTACAGTATTGAGTTTTAATCCACTGAAAAGCAATAGTAATCCAGAAATCCATGCCAGTAATGAATCATTAAATGAATGGGGAAGGCTGACTGGTAAATGTAGACTGAGTGCTAAGAGTTGGACAGTCACCATTTGGTAGCCATCAGGTAACAATCATGCACAGAGAGAACTTTTAAAATGAGAATCAGTGTATATGTATGGTCTTAAAGTGTTTCCCCACAGACATTCGTTTCAAGGGAAAATAAAGATCAGTGATTACACAGTGGAGAAATTGGACAACATCTTGACTGGGAAGATCAGAATGATCATCACCAGTGAGAGACAGATGGGTGTCATATACCTCCAGATGTGATACCCTAAGAAGGAAACCTCACCTATGCAGAGTTTTAGCTGAGACTGCAAATATGCATCTAATAATCAGGAAATGTCAGACAAATCCCACATAAGGAACATGTTAAAAGGGTGAGGAGGGACTGTATTCTCCCAAAATATCAATGTCAAAAGACAAAGGTGTGAGAATGGTCCAAATTAAAAGAGGTTAAAGGGACACACGATAGCTCAATGTTATAACCTGACCCTGGATGTGATCCTGTACCATCCAGGGAAAACATATTATAAAGGACATTATGGGGATCAACAGACAAAATTAGAATATGAGTGGTAGATTAAAGTAGTGTATCAGTGTTAAATGTGCTGGCATTGCTAATGTATTGTGTCTGTGTAGGAGAATATCCCTAGGCTTGGGAAATGCACACTTAGGTATTTAGGTGTAAAGGACCATGATGAAATAAAAAGCTCAGGAAAAAATTTTATTTACACACACATCTCTCTCTCTCTCTCTCTCTCTCTCTCTCTCTCTCTCTCTCTCTCTCTCTCACACACACACACACACACACACACACACACGGTACAGCAAAAGTAGGTTTACCTTGGTAATACAATTAAATACAACAATAATTAAAAAACAATAATATAAGAATAAACTTTTACTCATAACTCTAAACTTACTTTTTGCCTTACTCTGTGTTTACATATCGATCTAAAACAGTCTTATACTAGAATACATATATTGATGTATGTATATGTATGTATGCATGCATGTATGAGTAGGTATATAAAGAAGAATATAATGAAGGGACATACAGATGATAAAGCATGTGGAGTAAATTGTCACAATAGATAAATCTGGATGATGGCTATATAACTGTTCTTTGATCTGTTTTTTTATTTTATTTTTTTTTTTTTCGTACATTTGAAATTATTTCCAAAGTAAAAGTTTTTTTTAATGACCTATAAAATTTAGAACAGTGGATAAAACTAAAAGGTTATTTAATAGATGCTTAAAAGACATTTGAGATAAAGTTTAACATTCAATCCAAAAAAAAAAAAAAAAAAAAAAGCAACAACTCTCAAAGCAGGAATTGATAGATAGTTCCTTAAGGGATAAGATACCCTAAGCTACACATGTAATGATGAAATGCTAGAACTTAGCATACAAATTCCTTTCTATGGTCTGTAAACCTCTAAGATTGTAGATAAACACAAACACAATTTAGCATACATTTGTGTTAGAGGGACATAGTTTTCATTATGTTGTAAAGTTGGCCATTGCCCCAAAGTAGTAAAAAGCCATTGAACTCTGGGACATTCCTATTAAAAATTAGGAAGAAGATGAGAATTCTGGGAATGCTGTTATTTAAAATTGTTCCAGATGCCTTGACTATTGTGGAATTACAGATCAAGGCAATAAGCCAAAATGATCATTATTTGCAGATGATATGATTAATTAATTGATTGCTGATATTCTTAGGATAGATTTGGGGGGATAAATTCTTGAAGTAAATTAGTAGTAAACTCGATATACTTTGCTAAATTACTTTCCAGGAAGCTTTTATTAATCTCCACTTGAACCATAAGTTAATGAGTGCCTTTCCTCCTTTGCCCGTATGTCAGTATTACTTATGGTCATTGTGTCAATTCAAATGATATGATTGTTTATCTAGGAACTTCCAATAAATCTGTTTTTAGAAATTATATGTCAGTTTCCTTTACTCTGACAATAATCAGTTAAAAAATACATTAGAGGGTGAAATGACATTTCCAAGAGCAACAGAAAACACACATTTTTTGGAATAATTTTAACCAGCAATATATGAGATTTATATTAAGAAAATCAAATGTTATTGCAAGAGAAAGAAAATTTGAACAAATAAGTAGGCATTCTGTGTTCCTTAAAGAAAAGGCCTAATATTGTGAAAATATTTTGAGGATATTCATTCTTCCTAATTTAATTTATACCTTAAAACAATCTATGTCAGAATCACAGTGTAATGTTTTTTGAAAGTTGGAAAATATTTTCTGAATATTATAAATATGTGAAAATAGCTCATTTTTTTTTAGTGGAAGAGTAAAGAAAATATACTTGATATTAGGGTTAATAAAACATTATGAAACTACAATTAAATCAGTGTGTAGACAAAACAGTGGAATAAATTAAACTCAGACTATACAGTATTTTAAAATTTAATGTATGTTAAGTTCAGCAGAGCGTTCTTCTAATGGGCCTGCACTAACAATGCTAACTTTGGGGTGAGGCTGGAGGGAGAAACTCTGACCTCATTCCATATATGCAAATAGATTAATGCACTGAACTTTTTTTTTTTTTTTTTTTAAGACAGACTATTAAAAAGTTAGGAGAAAATATATTTGATCAGAGAGAGAGAAATTTTCTAAGCATATAAAGCAACAGAAAAGACCACAAGAGGTTTGACTACTTAAAGACTTCAAACTTCCGTAGGTTAAAAAAAAAAAAAAAAAAAAAAAACATAGACAAAATTAAAAGGCAAAAGACTAATGGGGAAACAATTAAGTTATATGTGCAGTTCATAAAAAATAAAAATACTAGAGCCCTGGCAGGATAAATAGATGAGAAATATGAACAGTAAATTCATAAGAGAAACACAAGTGGCTAATAAACATATGAAATCATCATATCAGCGTCACGTGTAAATTAAAACAATATTGTTTTTCAGCTCTTAATTAGGGAAGTTTTGTTTTTGTTTTAAACTCGGACATTCCTGGCACGGGTGAGACGAGAAAGGTCCCATACACTGCGGGTGAGCAAGGTGTAAATTGATGGAAGCATTCTGGAAACTCATTTGGCGCAGTGAATCCAAAGTTTCAATCCAATGATTTAACTTCTAGGATTCTCTCCTAAGGATATTATAAAAACGATCCAGAGACATTTATCCTAGCATTCTTATAATAACAGAAAATTAGTGTGAACACAATGGTCCAGTAATGGGAGAATCATGAAATGATTGTATCTCTACAGTCATGTAGATATTTCATGTCTGCAAAGGAAGTTTAATGATCCTAAAACCCTCATACAGTGTGTCACACAATTCTTGTGTCTGGGTCACTAAAGAAATGAAACTATCGTCTGCTTTATATTTTGTCTTTCTAAATTTTCTAAAATTAATATTTGTCACTTTTATAATCAAGGAAAAAAATAAAAGAAAAAACAACAAACCCACAGAACACCCACTTAAATTTTTTCTGCATCAGACAGAAAAATGGGCTTTTGCTCCAGCCGCTATTGAATTGTTGCAAGAAGTCTTAGCCATTGTGTGCACATGTATACACAACACATAATAATTCTCGTGAGACAGCAGTTTTAGCATTGACTAAACCATGCAAGAGTTACCTGCAAGGCAGCTAGATAACTTAAAACCACCTGGGATGGGACTCTGTTCTCTGGGTGGCCGGTCATCATCTCCCTAACTGGGTGGGGCTTCGTCAGATGGTTTTTGCCCCCCTTTCCTTTTTTTTTTTTTTTTTTTTGGAGCTGGGTAAGATCAATTTCCTACACTCCTGGCACTCTGGATCTTACAGGAAAAGGTTTGGAGCAGATGGTAATTCAGTGAGATCAGATTCCACACAGTTTGGATTATTTTTCTACTGTGTGTGTGTGTGTGTGTGTGTTTTCCGAAACCTTACATCTTACAGCTCTCAGCCATACTTCCTCCACCTGTGGCTTCCTAGTTCTTTTACGTCTCCATCTTCCCTTCTCCTACCCTCAGCATTTTCAAACAGTTCAGCTGCAAAACAAATGCTAACAAGCTGGTGTGGTGAATCTGTGCAGGATCCCGTAATAAAGTCCAGCTTTATTGTGCTATATTTTTAAAGCAGGGTTGTGCTTTCAATCCATGGCCAAACAGGGCATTAAACACTAGAATGAAATCGCTGCACCCTGCTACTGAGTTTTAAGAGACTTTGTTATATTATTTCTTAGAAACCTAGACGTTTGGCATGTTGACATATGGGCACTATATTGACTAATATAGTTAACTAAGATTCTATCAGTTGTGCAAGACTTGGAGAATATCTATCTCATTAGCCAAAGTTCACACCCACCTGTATTCATATGTTGCATAAATTCACATGCTTTTCAGCTATAACAATGGCCTCCGTTCTTTGTCTCCTTTCAGGTGTCCACCTTTACTACGTTGGAGGGGAGGTATACGCCGAATGCCTCAGCGACAGCAGCATCTTTGTGCAAAGCCGAAACTGCAACTACCATCACGGGTTCCATCCCACGACTGTGTGCAAGATCCCGAGTGGGTGCAGTTTGAAGATTTTTAATAACCAGGAATTCGCTCAGCTACTGGCACAGTCTGTGAACCATGGCTTCGAGACCGTCTATGAGCTCACAAAAATGTGTACTATACGCATGAGCTTTGTGAAGGTGAGAGCTCTGATTCCTCCGGAGGGCTCTAGCACACCGGAGGAATATCAGTTTGTCAGGGAATATCAGGGTATCAGTTTGTCTCTTCTCCACGCATGTCCAAAGAGCCCAACTTGTTATCTAGGCATTTTTAGACTTAGACAAGGGTGTCAGTTATTAGGAGAGTATAGCAGGTCCTCGGATAATGTCGTTTCATTCAACGTAATTTTGTTATGGTATTGACAAGACACCATAGAAACTTAACTCTTATTTATATCAATTAACCCTATGAAAAATTGGTCATTTCACTTAAAGTCACAGAACATTAAGAAAGGACTGCCTGTATGACTGACCTCTATGACCTCTTGACCTCTATGACTGAGGACTGCCTGTATCATTGGATTATACGAGTGTGTGTGTGTGTGTGTGTGTGTGTGTGTATGTGTGTGTGTGTTATATGTCAATAGTAACAGGCTTTAACACCTTTTCCTTATTTGAATAACACTGTTTTACCTATTGTAATACCATTAGTATGTTATGTATTATACTTAATGTGCATAGTTTAAATGCTTGGTATTCTTATAAGATCAGTTCAATCAACACACCTTCTTCCTTTATTTTTCATCCTATGTTTTTTATGATGGTAACACCTCTTGCTTTTGTTTTAACAATAAGCAAGCAGTGTTTTTGTAAAAGTAAAAGTTCATCACACTGGGATTTATTTTCAGTTGGTCAGTTTTTTTTTTTAGTGGTTCCAGTGAACCCTATGCATTTTCTTTTAATTCAAAAGTTAATAAGGCCTGTGCCCAAAGATAAACAGATGCCTTGGCTTTAAGACTGTATTGTAAGGTAGGAGGAGGGAGAAGCTTAGGACATTGCTCACAATAATTGATCTCTTTGCTGCCTCCTCTTTACCTCCAAGAAATAAAAAAAAATTCAGATGCCATTGAAATGTAAAACATTTACGGATCTGATTCAATTTCATGCGTCAGTAACTTATTCTGGTGACTGACTGCCTTGTTGTTGAATTCTCAAAGATAAATTTTTATCCTCTGTTACCCTGAGAAACAAAATTAATTATATATTTGGGTGAGGCAACCACCTTTCATGTCCTCTCTTCAGAAGCTCATCTAACTTGTTGTTAAACCTGTTCTGTAATGTGTTTATTACAGAGAGCAATTTGCGAACCTGACTGTGGTAATCATCCTGTGGATCACAGATAGCCTTCCCCAAATATCTCTTTTCCTACTTCTTTGAGTTATATTCACAGACTTTCAGTGTGTTCTCTTGGTGTGTGTGTGTGTGTGTGTGTGTGTGTGTGTGTGTGTGTGTTTTCCCCCAAAACAATTCCACAGCACTTAATGCTGAGTCTGGTGCCTTCTTAGTATTAAAAGAGGTTGTTTGTTTGTTTTTTACTTTTTTAAACATGGAATAAAATCGCTGCACCCTGCTACTGAGTTTTAAGAGACTTTGTTATATTATTTCTTAGAAAATGAAATGTACTATTTCTAAGGTGACCAGTTTTGGACTTTACACAAAACATGTGTTTTTTTGTTTTGTTTGTTTTTTATAAATTGTTTGCATAGTAAACTCCCCATATCTAAAAAAATCCAACTTTGCTCAGGTGAACAGGTGTTTCTCTAGAACTTTTGCTTTGTGCCAATCACTTGATGGGTGTTTGACACAGAAGATAAGTAAGATCTGATCCCACCTTCAAAGACAGAACCCAGGCTCTTCTGCTATTCCTCAGGAAACCAGGGTTTATCAGAATGTCATATTCTGTTGGCCACCACACCAGAGAGTTACTCACCGCTGCAATAGCAAAATACTTTTCCCTTCTGCGTAGTGACTTTCTTCTTTGCAGCCTTAGTGTCCTGGTGCAGTAATCCTGAAGATATCTGGCAAGATCCCTTCCTGTACAATTGAAAATGAAAATCCATACATTCAAGGCAATGATTAGGTTTCAATAATAGCTTTTGGATACTTACATGCTCCTGCCAGTTTTGCTTAGAGATTAAAAGCTGAAGTGCTCTGTGTCGATAGGGGGACCTCCAGTGGTTGAATAAGAAGGAACAGAATGTCAGTCTGTCACATACTACCTCTTTCCTTATTTATTTATTTATTTATTTTATTTTATTTTTTGGGGGGGAAAGGGGGGAGGCAATAAAGTGAGAATTTAATATCTATTACAATACTATTAGTAACATAATGGTCAATGAAAATGAAAATTAACACTAACTTATTAAAACAGCCTTATAATGTATTCTAAAACTTTTATTCCCCAAGACCACGACTTATTAATCCAGAATCTACGGATGGGTTATGGGGAGCTGGGAGCACACCCATTCCCTGACAGTGCCTGCTAAGTTGTGTGCCCACGCATTTGTCCTGTGGAAAGCACCCGTATTTTTATGTCTGGTTATGTGAGCTCTTTTCACTTAATCCGTTTAACCACTGAGTTGGGCAAGTTAAATGACCTCCCACATGTTGTTTCTAGGGTTGGGGAGCAGAATACCACCGCCAAGATGTTACTAGCACCCCCTGCTGGATTGAGATCCACCTGCACGGCCCCCTCCAGTGGCTGGATAAAGTTCTCACCCAGATGGGTTCACCTCACAATCCTATTTCATCTGTGTCTTAAGCGGCCTCAGGCTTCTGCCTCTTTGAAAACTGTTGAGCCTTGCATGTACTTGAAGGATGGGTGAGTCAGACACGATTGACAACTGACAAAGGAGCCTCGAGAATACTTGACCTCTATGACCAACTGTTGGATTCAGAAATTAAAACAACAACAACGAAAAAAACACCTTGGTAACATACTGTTGATATCAAGAATCTGTTTAGTTTACATTGTAACATTCTGTTGTAAAAATCACCTACAATGCATACTTTTAGCAGGACTTTGTGTATAGTTAAAGGAGAGATGGCCAAGCCCGGGACAAATCAATTGGAAAACTGGTCCTAAGAGATTCTTTTGTGTTTGGCACTTTAAGGTCATCGTTCGGCAGAAGATTAGCATTAATAGTCTTTCTGAAGTGTGTTTTTATCAGGTTTAGAGCCCATGTGGAGTCTTCTTTTCATGGGTTTTCATAATATTTTAAAAATACTTGTTTAGTAATTTTTTTTAAAGTAATGGTTAATCTTGATGATATACATAGTAATCTTTCTAAAATTGTATGCTGACCATACTGCTGTCAGAATAATGTTAGGCATATGCTCTTTGCTAAATATATATGTACAGAATATTTGGAAGCTAAGAATTGATTAGACTAGTGGCTTTAGGAGTATTGGAGGGGGTGGGGGCGAGGGAAATGACAACTACAGATGTAGAATATACTATAAAAATTCAGTTTGTTGCTTTATAGAAACAAACTGATATCTGAATTTTGCTGTGTTTCAATTTTTTAGAGATTTTTATCCTACTCTCTTTCTCTCTCTCTCTCTCTTTTTTTTTTGTTGTTTTTTTTTTGTTGTTGTTGCATCTTCTAGTTCATTTGCTCCAAAAAACAGTTATGCAGCTGGTTAATTCATATAATTGTGAAAGCAAATGAATAATTCCTGCTATTCTGAAATTGACTGCAAAAATGTTTCAATACCAATTGTATGGAATGCTTGAATTTAATAAACAGTTTTTATGGAGTTTACAGTTCAAAAATAGGCTTTAATTCTCAAGTGAATTATTTGCCAAACCTAGTAACTCTGTTAACTATTTAGAAGATTTAAAGAATATCCCTGCTTAAATCCATGTTAGACTTTTAAAACTTTTTTGTACTATGTTTGGTTTTATTTTCTTCTGCTAATCTTTTATATTCACTATGCTCTCATACATTGAGTACTTTTATTCCAAAACTAGTGGGTTTTCTCTACTGGAAATTTTAAATAAACCTGTCATTATTGCTTACTTTGATTAAACATTTGTTGTTTCCTTTTTTCACACACTAGATTTTACGATCCATAAGATTCACTACTCTTTGGAGGGATTTTTTTCAAAGATTCTTTGTCAAACGTAACAAACTAAATCACTGCCATGGAGACAGGGATATTGAATCATGAAGAGAACAGAGTTGCTTTAAATCAGAAAAGAGAGGACCTGTGGAACTTTAAAAATTAAGAAAGACAGCCAAAGCCAATTTGGCTCAGTGGTAGAGCGTCGGTCTGCGGACTGAAGGGTCCTGGGTTCGATTCCGGTCAAGGGCATGTACCTTGGTTGCGGGCACATCCCCAGTAGGGGGTGTGCAGGAGGCAGCTGATCGATGTTTCTAACTATCTATCCCTCTCACTTCCTCTCTGTAAAAAATCAATAAAATATATTTTTTTAAAAAATTAAGAAAGACAAGTTAGCAAAACCTGGAATTCCTAATCTAAATGTATAAACTTTTTTTATGTGAGAAATTATAGCAGCAGCAATTATGGGTGGATGCCATTCAGTCAACCAATAATATCCCCAATTTCTAAACTTCAGGTGAAATGCAAAGGTGGCTGTGAAAGGACATAACACGGGAGGAATGAGGGCCAACACGGCAACAAACCAAAATGATCACAGTGGGTCCTCAGCATCACTTTGTTCACGTCACTTTGTTATAATGTTGATGCAATGCTGTAGGAACCTAACTTTTGTTTATGTCAATTAATCTCTGATAAAATTGTGTTCATCGTGTGCCACTTTGCTTGACATCACAGGACTTATTGATATTAAGTGAGGATTTGTACTTTTGCAATCTACTTGCCCTGGGATCCTCTCTCTCCCATCCTCCACCTCACCCCCCTAAATAGAGTTTGCCTACAAAGGGTACAGATGTGAAGACTTCAATTATTCTTTGGCCATTTAGATGCAACTTGTCGTCCTTGGCATTTTTATGTCTCTTTCCCAGAATTATAACTAGCCCCTCCTCCCCTTATTCCCTAAACTGTGATTCGGTAGAAATGTCCACTGCATCTTACTGTCTACGAAAACATCATGGTGCAAATGGAGAAAAGACCTACATTACAACACATGCGTGTCTCTGCTGGGTCACTCAGTGCCCGTAAACCTCCATTTTCCTCATTTGTAAAATGGAGATGATGCTGTGTTCTTACCACAAAGTTGAGGTAAGGATCTGCTGGAAGGAAAATATGTGTGAAAATACCTTGGAAATACAGTTGCATGTAAGTATTCTTGAACCCTCCCCTGTACTTTGTTTTTCCACTTATCTGCTACAGGGGATCTGGTTCGATGGTGGTGATTAGTGAGATATAATAAAAAAAGAATCTATAAATTAAGGCTATTGGAATTAAGTGTAACTGGAAATTTTCTAAAAATAAAGAGCTCAGGTCAGGATTTCTCACCCTTTCCCTAGTGAACAGCTATTTCACCAACCTTGATGGGATAGTGATGCCAGTTAATTGCGTGTGGCAATGCTGGTAGCTTGTAGATCTACCAGATAAACTCCAAGATCATCCAGTAGATTGAAACATAATAGATTGAGCCTTAGGAGCTTACAGCATGGCACATAAATCAGCCCTTTATGCTCAAAGGCAATTATTTCTATATGTAGTAAGATCTTAGTGAAGACTTTTGTCATCAGCTATAGGAGGCCATTAAGTCTGAAAGTTTTCAATTAAAGGAATGAAAAAGTCAGAGCAACTTTTTGAGGGGGGGGGGGGGGGGGAAAGCTAGCTCAAACAAAACCAAGCACTGTGAACTGTTTCATAGCAGATGTATTATCAGCCACTAATAAATGACAGAGTGATAAGAAGTGGAGAGTTCTAGAGCCACCCTGGCCTCACTTTGTCAGCTAGTAGTAGTTGACCTCAAACAAGTTTCCTGACTTTTCTGCACCTGTTTCCTCATCTGTGAAACTAGAGGCAATAAAGCCTATCTTATGACATAACTCCATATAGATAATGTCTACAGATAATTTTCTTTTTATCAAAACAATACTCGCTTACTAAAGATTTTTAAAGTCCAGGAAAAACCAAAAGAAGAAATTAAAAGCCACCTGTACTAATCTTCGACGATCAGTTTATCCTTGAACCAGGTGATTATGACAACTTAGTGTAGATATTTGGTGTGCTGTAGGAAATTCGGGTCCAAAGGTCAGCCTTAGTAGCTCTGTTGGTTAAGCAGTTGTTGGCACCAGTCCCATGCCAGCCACTATGCAAGGCGATAAAAGTGAGACCTTCTCAGACCCGCCCTCAAGGAGCCTGCACTCTAATGAGACTAGACAGTGACACGCTGCTGTTTGTCCGCAAGGGCCCAGAAGGGAACTTAAACCAGACCAGAAGAGGAAAGGAAGACTTCAGGGCTAAGTGTTAGTGTGCTAACTAGGAATCTTACGGGCAAGGGACGGAAAGGGGAAGATGTGTACCAGGCAGAATGTGAAAGGCGAAGAGCTTCCTTCTCCCAGCCTCTGCCAAGCCCTGGGAGCTGAGGCGGTGGGGCCTCCGGCAGACGGGAGGAAGGAGGTGGGGGGTGCAGCGGGAGGGGCCGTGTGGTTAATTGGTTTCTTTGCTACAAATACATTTCTTGTTTGGGGAGAACTGGGGATGGTACAAATTATAGGCCGTTTACTGAAAAGTCCGTTTTTTATTGGGTCTGGTGACTGTGTAGCGGGGTCAGTTATATAACTGTCACCTGGTTCTTAAGGCAGTTGTCCCTCGGAGGGCGCTGCTGGGAGACCTCAGGCCGGGTCCAAGCCCTGGAACAGAGAACCTTGGATGGATCTGAAAGCTCAGTGCCCGCACCTGGGAGGCCCCAATATATTTGGGTCTGAATGTAGCACGATAAGTAAAAGCCAGGGCCCTATTGTAGTCACAGGCTTGGGAGGGACTCCTCTAAGAAATCCTTAAAGTTAGAGTACGTTCTAAAAGGGAAAAATAGGAAAGAAAAAAATTGAGCCACTGTGACCCTTTCCGTCGAGACACCAACCGTGGGAGCATGAGAGGAATGTTTCCTCTTTCCTTCGGCTGTGGGTCAGGTGGAGACGAGAATAGAGTCGTCTCCACTGCATTTTCATGCCGTGCAGGTGTGATGGTTAAAAGAGTCTGGGTACATGTCATCCAGACTTGTTTTTCACGCGGGCTCATCACTTTTTAGGTGTGTCATCTGAGGCAAGTGAATTAACGTGTGAGCTTTAGTCTCATTGCCTGCAAAGTGAGAAAATACAATCACGCTCTCCTAGGTGTGTGATGGTGTGCTGCGTACGAAATCCTTGCCACAGAGCTAAGCACTTAATAGTGGCTTGGTTGCAATGATGATTACCAAGAGGGCTTAAGAAATACAGGTCTAGTGACCTTCCAGTGAATGGAGGTGGAAGGATCCTCAGTAACATTGGATAGATATGGTAGATGATTCAAAACCCAGTAAGAATGTTTTAAACCCCCACAGCAATGATAGTCAATTCAGTAAAGAAAAATGCAGTGAGTTGGGCAAAAACAAATAAACAAACACACACACAAACAAGCAAAAAACAAACGAGCAGTGCTCAGGGTGCTGCCTAGCAAATGGTAATAAAACAGATGCCTTGTCCATTTCCCCAGATGCTTCCAACAAGAGTCCCCTCTGCAGCTCCTTGATGAAGAATCTTGGTTGGATTGTATTACAAGTTTTATCCTATTTACTAAGTACTTATGCTTTTAGGGGGGGCTTATAAATATAGAGGT